GGGGAATAACTGGGCCCAGATTCTGTTTTATTTATATCACTTGAAGGATTTCCATTTTCACAGAGGCCCTCAAAGCTCCCATTTCTCTCCCATGAGTGCAACGGGAGCTCCCTATGCTCTTCCAGACAACTGTGTGTTTGCTCTCCCAGTTCTCTCTCTGTAATCTGTACTGGTGGAGAACTGCTGTAAAGCTCCTCACTGGAAAGCTTGTTGTTAGAGTTTTGGGGTCTTCATAGTTGTCTGTCAAAGATGGCTTAAGAAAAAGCATAGTTTAAACATTACTTGCTCTGTTTAAACATTACAACTTGCTTTGTTTTTAAGGTCATGCTGAAGATGTCATTACACAAGCAGAAGCGATCCATGCTTTGCCAGGTGCTGATGTGACCCTGGTGTGCAACTTCCCAAAACCACACACCACCTACATAATACAGACACAGTGGTCCAAGACTGATGACACTCAGCTTACCAGAATAGCTGTTTATCACCCTGTTTATGGCACCCATTACTTCACCTTTCCTGAGGCTTCTTACAACTTCTCGGTGTCCTTCAACACGAGGAAGTGCTGTGGCTGGGATGTTACAGAGACTTTGTGTCCCCCTGATCCAAATTCCACGTCTGAATGCAATCAGTGGGCTCTGCATCTGAAAAACGTTACCATCTCCCTTAGCGGGCAGTACGAGTGCAGTTTTGCTACTTACCCATATGGGACAAAGGCTGCAAAAATTCAGCTTATTGTCAGGGCAGAAGGTAAGTGATTGCAAATGAGATGTTGCTTTTTCATAACAGGGGGTGAGGTGGAGGAATATCAGGATAGATGAACATTTTTTCATCGGTGACGGTGATTTGTTTGGGGTTTGAAATGATGTCACTGAATGCTGCTATCTACACAGTTTCCCATTTACCAGGCACTCTTTAGCTGTTATAATCCAGCTCATGACTAGGAAACCTTATTTGTTTGGAGGAATGTGAAGTTAGATAGAACATTAAAAAAAGGTGGTGAGATGGGCAATTTCCACGTTTTCATTTTGGAGAAACATGCTGTGGAGAAAACTGGATGGGAGGCTCAGGATATGGTGGGACTGGGGATACTGGATCTTCAAACCACACTGTCCTGCTGCTCTGGGTGTGCAGCACTGGGCACCAGAAAGACAAATCAAGCTTGTCTGGTTGAGGCAGAGGGCTGGCATCTGCAGAGCGTGCTGGGTGTTAGCTCAGTGGAGGGGTGTGTGTCTCCCCTGTCAAAAACAACTGGAACAAGGCAGGAGATAGCTTAGGACAATCAAAGGAATGGAGATTTAGCTGCTTCTGTCAGCCAAAAGGAAGCTGGAAAGCAGCATGACTGCTCTTGGGAAGTAAGCCTCTGGGGAGACTGTGAACTCCAGGGAGGATATTTAAATTACCCTGGCAAAGGAACAAATGGGTTTAAATAGAATGTGAATGGATTTGACTACAGATTAAACAATAGTGGCAACTGTTAGTGCAGCAACTTCGGGACCAGCTGTTTAATGCCAGCAGAGAGAGCAAAAGTCCAAACTTTCATGAAGATGGAGCTGGGTGGGGATGTTGGGCAAGCTTGTTGTTGTGCACATGGGGGACTGGATTTGATGACCCCAGAAACCTCTTCCTGACCCAGGTTTCTGTTAACAAGCCAAGAAGGATTACAGGAAATGCAACAAACCTGGCACAGTTTCAGTTCAACACTGCCAGGCCAACACGCTGGCTCTGCTTGTGCCCAGGGCTGTAGATGCAGCAGATGTTCAAGGGTTAGATGCAGGGTGGGTGTAGGTGTTGCTAGGGGTAGCAGAGGGCAGCAGTGCTCCCACCACCTCTTTGGCCTGCATTGGGAGGCCAGACTGCTGGCAGGAGGGATGTTGGTCCCCATGCTGGATCACATTAGTCCTGCAGCAGGAGGAGGTCCTGTGCAAATCTCATACACAGGGACATTCAACCCAAGCTGCTGCCTCGCTCCCTGATGTCCCCTGCATGCCAGTGGCTCCAAGGATTTTGGTGCTGTTATCCTGGAGGCACACCTCAGGGGCAACCCAACAGCACCTTCCTGCCCTGACGAACTGACAAAGGCAAAACTAAAGCCAGCATCTCTGTGCAGTCCATAGAGGATGGGTGTTTAAACAGGACAGGTTGGACAATGGTGTCAAGGACGATTGACCTGCTGCAGAGGGGTGTGCTGTGGTATGTCCCCTTTGGGAATTTTCCTGCACTTCACAGGGCAGAGGGGCTGGATCAAGAAGAGAGCAGTGAGGTACAAATGGTTCTGGTAACCATGTGAAACCCACCCATGCTTCTGTTTTTCATGTTCTTCTATCTTTTTCTTAATGCAGTAATAGTTCTAATCAGACATTGCTCCTTTTCTCTTGCCGGTGCCCTTGGTTGATACTGCCATGCCATGCTCAATGCAGTCATTGCTGTCTCCATGTTAAATGTGAGCAGGTCTTGTTCATATCAGCATCACTGTGGCTTTCTTCAGCAACAGCATGATGTAACAAGCTGTGCTACTGATAACTGCTTGCTAGAGAGAACTAAAAAAATTTGGTTTGCAACATACCTCTAGCAATTGGTATTTTAAGGTAACCAGATCTTCTGTAATGAACTGCTTCAACTCAAAAGAAGACAAAAGACCTTAACCCAGCCTATGAGTGGGATGGAGAAGGGTGCTAGTCCTTAATGAAGTACAGCTCCCAAGGACATCAAAGTGAAGTGAATCCAGATGGATTCAATTTGTAGATACTCTAAAAAGCCCGCAGGGCTGCATAGGACTGACAAACATGGAGGACCTGAGCCAGCTGGCTGTTAATGGAGAGGAGAATCAAAGATGGGAGAGGAAAATAAGCAGCTGGGACACATGACTGTGAGAACAGGCAGAGGCTGTTTGCAGACTGAGCTCCTGGGGTGACTACTAATCTTTGTACTTCCACACTGCATGGCACTTTTGCATGGTGGCTTATCCCAGCAAAGTCTCCTGTGCAGTTTTCTTTCTGAGGAAGCTATAGATTTGCTTCCTTTGCTCTTTCTTTATCCTTTCCACACTATCCAGCCCCTTTAGGGCTTGTGCACGCTGTGTCCCGCTGGGACAGCTGACTCCTCAGCTGCTTCGCTCCACTGGAGAGTGGACATGAGCCGGGTCTCCTGGGCACTGCTTTTCTTCACGTACCTCTGGCACAGGCTGTGCGCTGGCACTGTCACTCTGTGCTTGGGTGACAGATATGAAGGAAGTTACAGTCACCAGAAAGTCCCCATTGCCAAATAACATAACAGTCTGAGACTGTTGGATATCCTCCCCTCAAGATAAAAAATAAATACAATATCTGTCTATTCTATCTCGGCAGCCAGAGCTACCAGGGGAGTTCAAGCATGTCCATGTGGTGTGGGCTCATACCTGCCCACAGGGAAGAGGGAAGGCAGGTCTGCATGGTGCTACCACCCAGGCTGAGGGTCAGAGACATCAGCGCTCACTGAGGCACTTGTCGCACCTCCTGGCCATCACCGCTGCTCTTCCTGCAGCATCTCCTGGCCATCACCACTGCTCTTCCTGTAGCATCTGCCTGTCATCACTGCTGCTCTTCCTGTAGCACCTCCTGGCCATCACCGCTGCTCTTCCTGCAGCACCTCCTGGCCATCACCACTGCTCTTCCTGCAGCACCTCCTGGCCATCACCACTGCTTGTTCTGTAGCACCTCCTGGCCATCACTGCTGCTCTTCCTGTGTAAATGGACACACATACGTGGACCCAGTGTTTGGACCACACCATTGCTCTGTTCAGAGCATAACTCTGCCCTTCTGCAGGGGCACTGGAGCCCTGGACTGGGAATGAGTAGGGTACGAGATGCTGAATTTTTTTTCTTTCTTTTTTTTAAATCAACGACAAAAGAAAGAGTGAAAATTTCTCTGCTTCTGGTAGCAGGCAGGTTGGAGAATAACAAAAGGAGCACTTACACTGAAAAATGGGGTTAATCTTAACCTGCCTGACACACTGAACACCTTGCTTAGTGAAAGGAAGGTCTGCAGATATCTTCAGAGAAAAGGAAATACAGCTGCACAAAATTGATGTGAAGGTTTATTGCCGCAGAAAAAAAATTGTGAGAGAAAAATTGAAGCTTCAAATTATTCTCAGCTCCAAAAGGAGACAATTTCATCCTGCAGTTAAGCAAAGGGGTTTTTTTATGAATTGCCCAAAAATTCAGGTAAAGATGTGAATTAGAGTCACGAAACTGCATCTAGAATCAGGTGCAGAGTTTTCACTTAACAAATGTGTCTGTGGGTAATGGTTGAAAATTACAGTTCCATTCTAATCAAAAAAGTGTCTGTTCCTTGAACAGAAGACTGGTCAGCATTGGTTTTTAAAAAACACAATGAACACCATGTTTCTGACTTTCCTTCTTGGGCTTTTGTTGTTGTTGTTGTTGTTGTTGCAATGATAAAAGAGGAGCAGCACTACGTGAAGGAAGCGAGGTTAAACCAGACTTTAGAAATTCCATGCCTTGAGGACACGACCTCAGAAAATTTGTCCAATTATCCTTTGAAATGGCTAGTGGTAAGTATTTTTTTCATCTGGGGTATAAATTTCAGAAGGAACTAGAGGGTATTTTTGCAGATTGCAATAGAAATGTTAGACTTTATCTTGCAGGATCTGCTAAACAAAAGGTGTTGGTAGTGTCGGACTGTGATAATAAAGGGAAAAAATACAAACATGGTTTTACCTCATAGCACCACAAACAATAACTGTTAAAGAAACAAAGAGGGGAAAAAACCATCTTAATTGCTTTTAATGTTTCAGGAGTAGATGTAGAGCAGGTCTGTGGAAAGTGGTAAAGAACTTATCAGATATAACAGAACTAAAATATTCCTTGTGTTGGAATTCTCAGGGGGTTTTGCTGCAGTGAAGCTTTAGTATCTCTGAAAAATACACAGTTACTGTGTAGGGTAGTGAGATATCAAGCTGCTTTGAAATAGAAAAAAAAATTAAAAGTGGGCTTACTAAAGTTTCTGGTTTTGTTAACCTCTGTGTCACAAAGGCACGCTGAAGACATACCAACTGAGTTATCTCGCTAACCACATAAAACCTATTTTTAAGCAATTTGCTGTGAGATATGAAGCTTGTTATATTTTTGTACCGCATCTCACTTTCTGGATAAAAATTTCTATGCATATTTTAATGTAACCTTTTAGCATTAATTTCAGTATGTAGAGATAAGTATCAGCCAGTGCTGTCCTTGAGCTCTGCCTGTTAATTTCTATCTGTTGTCACTGAGGAGCTGTAACAGTTGAGAGGTTTTTTTTAAAGGTGGTTTTAAAATATTTCAGTTTTTTTAGTCTTTTGTCCCAACACGTTATCTATTCAGATCTCCCCTTTGCAGTACATTCTTAATATTAAAATTCTTGAATTTTTTTGTAGGGAACAGCCTTGTTCTTACTACTTTTTAGTGTTGCTAGTTCACTTTACACATAGCAGAGGAAGGGAAAAAAAACCCTTAAAGGTCAGCATAATGACATACGTGGGTTGCCATACGTGATTCACAATATAACTTGCAAATATGTACCGAGGCACAAATGTCCAGAATGTGCTGGCTGCACCTATATCTAAGAGTGGCTGGCACACAGGCATTAAGAGGAGATAACTTTTAGCTGTTATTATCAGATTTAAAATCTATTTAAAATCTAAACCAGAGAGGATTTTCTTGGAATTTCACTCGTATTTAATATGTATGGGATGTTCAGCACAACTTAAAGATTGCTGCAGTGAGAAAGCAGCTCTGTTGCCCTTTCTGCAGGCTACAGAGGTCAGGACTCACAAGACACAGCTGTTTACTCCATAATTTATTGGTTAGATGATGACCGCTATTGATTTTGAAGTTCTGGGAGAGAAAGTATTTGGAAAAAAAAAAAAAAAATAGATGTTGCAAATATCTACTTACTACTACACAATGCTAGGGGTGAGGGGGAAGATTTTCCTAGTGGGAATAGAATTGGTCTACAAGAATATTTGGGTGGGATATCTGGTCTTCACACATGGTGTGGTGTTGCTCTTTTCACAGTGGGAAAATGGCAGGAAAGAGGAACTTGTGACCAAGAAGCCCTCCTGTCCTGCAGTGTACAGGAACAGCAGTGCATTGTATGGGCAAAGAGTCCACCTGGGTTTGAATAACACTCTGAAGATTTTCCCCACCAAAATCATGGATGATGGCAGGGTGTTCTCCTGCCACGTGATGTACCATCCAGAGAGAGTCCAGAAGAGCAGCACCACCGTGAGAGTATTCGGTAAGGAGCTTATGCCAACGGGCTGCTTACCTGCACTGGGAATGGTAACTCTCCTGCCTGGTCCTGAGGGCAACAGCTTTGAAATGCACTGGGATTTTTTCCATATATATATA